TTCACCTTTGACCCGTGTCGTATTTTGTTTTGGGTCACACGCCGCGAGCGCACCGCAGAGCGCCGGCGTCGCCTCGTTCTGTCTTCAGAGATTTTGGAAACAGTGGAGCTGCACCGCTTTAGCACCGTGTGCTGAAAGGAAACCACGTTCTTGCGGGGGTAAAAACACGGTCTCGGAGGAGTGAAATCGAGGCCTTTCCGAAGCCCTAAGATACAGTTACAGCACTGTAGGGTCACTATTTTAAATTGTTGTAGGACGTGCTGAAATGCAGTAGCTATTCAATATATTAAACCTACACTAATGTTTTGCACCCTTTGCAAAAAATCCATATTAAATTTTTGCATACAACACTTGTATCTATCAATGCAATATATAAAATACTTATTTTCATAAAGGTGTTTACGTACATGGAACACGTGTTTACTGAAATGTAAACTGAAATGTTTTTTGAGTTTTAGGAATTGCTTTGTACTGATATTGTTGTGGAGAAAGTTTTATTTTTCTGTAAAATATTATGAGAGCAACGGTGCATCGTATTATTGGTTGTGTTAAAATAATCTCCCATCACGCCCCCCCCCCCAAAAAAAAGAAATATCCATTTACATCTGCTAAATTATCTAGAACAGGGACAAAAACAAAGTTCAATGTTCAATACTGGACGGTTAGCTTTAAAAACACGACTCTCCAGGTCGAATGTATTGTGCGTCACAGAAGCGAAGTCGCCGGATGTTTGCGTCAATGCGGGGCAAGTTGAGCCCTGGCTGTCCATGATTTTGCGGGGCACATTTTATCAACAGGAGGGTAATGTGCAGCATTGTAACCTGCCCGTCCTTGAAGCTTGACAGCCAGAGAGAGCCGGTCACTCCTGTACTTTGGGGGCGTTTCTGCGAAATATGCTGGGTTTTTTAGCCAGAGCGATGGTGAGTAAGCACGACACGCAAGACACGCGGGGGGGTTCCTTATTTTGTACATCTCCGAATGTGGATTGTGTCGCTTGAATTTATCCCAGGCGTTTTCAGCGCTAGAAAACGGCTTTATAAAGCGAAAACGAAAGGGGCGAAAAACTCAAAAAGAGCTCTTCTGTGTTTACAACGTAGCTGCGGTAACGTCTCTCGCGAAAACTCGCCACTGTAAGAGGCTCGGAGCTGTGACAGACCGACTTTTCTGCGCAACTCGCAAACATGGTACATTTTGTGGTATTTAACCGAAGCCTTCGCGGTTCTCGAGGCTGTAATATTCCGTAATAATTGACTAGCCCGTCGTTTTCTTCTTTCTAGGAGGGAGTTTGTCCAGTGCCTTGAACCCAGTGACAGTTGCACGCAGTTGTGTACAGTTTGAATGCAGCTCCGTGTCGCGTCGTTTTAATATCGCTGTTGCCAACGACTGTGCGTTTAATAACGTGTCGTAAACGTCGCATTGTACTGGCGGTTAACAACATGTGAAGGTTATTTTTTAGAAGTTGTGAGGGGGGGAGGGTCGCTTTTTATTGCGGGATGTTATTTATGGTTCTCGTGCGGTGTGCCAGGTCCTCGGTCTCGAACCCTGCTGTGGCTCGCGCCGGTGTCGGGTGTCCTGCCCACCCGTGTGCGTGTGTGTGTGTGTGGGAGCTGTTCTGCACCTCGTCGCTAAAAGCGAGGATTCACATTGCTGGAAACTCTCTGTCCAAAGTCCAAATGGGGACACGCAAGACCAGAGGGCGAGTGTTTAATGTATAATCCGGGGCCGACGTCGGGATTTCTTCTGCGAGCGTGTGGCAAAGTCCTCTTGAAAATAAAATCCCCCCCGGCAGTGAAACAGCTGCTATCTCCCTGGAGGAACCGGGATTCTAACCGGGAGGGGGGAGGGTCTCGCCTCTGGGTGGGGAAACTGGACTGTCACCCCCAGAACTTGGTTTTTGGGGTTGGGCAGCCGGTTGACCTTTGACCCCCAGAGGGGGTGTTGTTCTCCTTCCAGAGGAGGTCTTGGTTCCTCTCCTCCGTTGTCTTCTGGCTTCTTCTCTTTCTGTATTACAACGCTATGTACCATCACACGGCTTTGTTAAGCACCTTGGGGCCACCTTGTTGTGAAAGGCGCTATATTAAAAGTAATTGAATTGAATCGAATGGAATTTTTATGGGGTTTTTTTTGCAGGCTAAGCAGGCCGCGCGGAAGCCCGCGGCCCTGGTGAGTCCCGTGTCGGTGACCCGGATCCCCGGCCGGTACCTGGCGCACCAGGAGGGGCTCCCCAAGCTGCCGGTGCCGCCCCTGCGGCAGACCCTGGAGCGCTACCTGCTGGCCCTGCGGCCCGTCGTGAGCGCCGAGGAGCTGGAGCACACCCGCGGCCTGGTCGAGGACTTCCAGCGGCCCGGGGGCGTGGGCGAGAGGCTGCAGAGGGGCCTGGAGCGCCGCGCCCGCAAGATGGAGAACTGGGTCAGTGCAGCTGGACGTCCTGAGCAGGCCTCGAAGCATTGCCCTCCTGTCCTCCCGTCTTCCCTCGTTTCAGACGGGTGAAGTCCAGGCGTTCGATAAGTCGCAAGTTTAATAACGCTAAACTGTTAGCCTCCGTTTCCTCCTCCTTCCAGAGATGCGCTGGCTGGGTCGGGGGTTTCCTTGAATTGTCTGTGCATATGTTTGTGCATGTGTGTGCGCATCAATATGTGCGTCTGTATGTACATGTGTGTGCGTCAGTGTGCTCGTCAATGTGTGCATCAGTGTGCGCGTCTGTATGTACACGTGTGTCTGCCCTGTGGTGGGCCAGTCCAGGGTGTAGTCCTGTCTCCTGCCCCCTAGGCTGCGCCGACACTCACCAGGAATAATCGGCTTTCTGGTCATCTCTGATAACGAACTGATGGATGTAGAGGGATTTCAGGCTTCCCTGCCGAACAGTAGCATGATGCAGGTTTTCAGATCTTGCACAGCACATGTAGTTTTTGTGTTGTAGCAGATATCTTTGGATGAATGAAATTAAAAAAGCCTCCTGGCTCAGCTTTTCTGATGCAGTTCTTTATTTCGTTTTAACTGGGGGTAAGCTCAGAGGTGAACGACTCTAAGATATCAGGGCTTATAAGTAGCACGTTCTCGGGGACTGCAGGGTCAGTCGCTTCGAGCTTTCTGCTTCTCTCATGGTGCACATCCCTTCGGCGCTCCGGTCTGTTCTCTGGCAGTCGTAACAAGAGGAGGACATTCTACCACACGCCGGGCCAAAACCGAGATCAAGGGCGAACCGAGTTCTGGTTCTGCTCTGCCTGTACGAAAGACGAGCTGTGACTGTTTGTGAGCTGGTGTGCAGAGAGATATCGGACTGTAACTGTGCGCAGGGGGGGCCTGATTGTGTGTGTGTCTCTCCCTGCAGCTCTCAGACTGGTGGCTCCAGACTGCCTACCTGGAGTACCGGATGCCTGTGGTGATCCACTCCAGCCCTGGGGTGGTCCTGCCGCGTGCAGAGTTTCACGATCGCCAGGGACAGATACGGTGAGTCCAACAGGATGCCGGTTCAAAAGGGCGAGGGGGATGGGACCGGGTGGGGGGGCTGGGCAGACGAGCTGTCCTCTGCGGCCTTTCTCCTGTCTCTCCATCCCCCATCTTTCCAAAGTAAAATTGCAAAATGGTTTCATTTGATATTTCTTTATCATTCCTGATTTCCAGTTTGCTGAAGACCTCAGTCACGCGAAGAAAATCATATAGAATAAAAAGAAAAGGTCTCTGCTCTTGCTGGCTCCCATTTCCCAGTGGGTCTCCTCACAGAGAAGGACAGTTCTTCATTCCCCAGCCTAAAAAGCAGTTTCCTAATAAGTGCTCTCGGGGCTCTTAAGAATTCCTCACGTTGAGCTAATTAGCATTATTTATCATAGTAGGAGCCTTGTCTCGTTGAGAGGCATTTCTTCTAAAGGGATCTAAAGTAAAAAAAAAAACTGCCCAGGTTTTTAACTAATCTAGTCAAGGCCTGGTGCATAAAACTATAGGTGACTACTTAAAATTGCTGCCTGTCTTGGTTCGACATTAGACTCTCCTCATTTCAGTCAGTTCTTTGGAGAAATTAAGACTAGGTCTGAGCAAGGGACTAGTGCGCAACGCTAAAGCTACAGAGGTTTAGCCTCATTCCTGAGCCATCTCTCGCTTGAGCTCGGTGTTACCATGACAACCCCAGAGTGTCAGGAACCAAGCTCCTGCTACTGGGGGCACAGGAGAGAGCCAGCATCCAGAGATCGGCAGTGAAAGGCGCTGCAAGTTGAACTTTAATGTTGGAAAACGTGAATTCTCAGCACAATGACGTGTATTCACACATGCGCCGTCTTCCTCCAGTTTAGTGTCCCATTTTGATGAATGCACTTCAGCTGTTGCGTTTTTTCCCCCACATCAAATTAATTACGTTTCCTTTTTATTCTCCTGCCCGTGAAATGATTTCACGTTTTGCTGTTTCAGTAAAGACAGGCGTTAAGATAAACATTAGTTCACAAGTCACTTGCCTTTGGGGGAAAGGGAGGGCATTAATAAAGCCCGTTTCTACTTGAAGGATGGAAATTGCCTGGGTGTTGTTTGTCGTCCCCTCTGCCAGCAGTAGCCATGGAAGCTGTTTAATCAGAGCTACAGACCATGACCTTTGCACAGGCTCACCTCTCACACAGTTGACTATTTTAAGCGCATGAGCTGTTCTGGGCAGCACCAGGGAAGGACCTCAGCAGAGTCTCTGAGCACAGAGAACGCTGTGTCAACAGTCCACAGAACAGATAATAACCGTGGCTTGGTAGCAAACTGGAAACACGCTCTCGGATGGATTATTGAACAAAGCCCCAGAGCCCGATCACTCATCAGCTTCTTTTCCCACTGAGCGCCAATGAAATGGAGCTGTAGTGCCTGCAGAGCAGAAAGAGCAATTGAAGACTTGCATTAAAAAGCAGTTTTAGTTCGTGTTGAGAAGACAGTATATACTGTAGCATGGCCTTGCAGGACAGCCGGCTGCTGCTCAGTGTGGTTATAATGGTTGCACATTATAGTTATAACCATTATGACTGCATAGCACTCGGACCCGTCGTGGGATTTCAGAGCAGTAGCTTCCCGAGTGGCTTGTTCCAATGCATTTGAAAAGGAAGTGCAATATCTAATTTAACTTCATTTAGTTTAATTGCATTTTAGCCGGACGCGCCGGTCTGGGCAAGATCGTTTTGAATAAAACGTGAAACTCTGGCGCCTGCAGTGGCTTTCTGTCGGCTCAGAAAACTGGAAAGGGTCAAACTGCCGGGCTGTGAGGGTGGGGGAGGGTCACCTGCTTTCCTGCAACAGGCTGAATAGAAGCTCAATTATAGGAGCAGCTCAGGTTATCAGGCCTAACTGGTCCTCTTCTTTTAAACCTCTTTTTTGCAGGTTTGCTGCCAAACTGATTGCGGGGGTTTTGGATTTCAAAACCATGATCGACAAGTGAGTGCCCCCAATTCTCATCGCCCTTTGCAAGTGGCAAAACAGATTCCCCCCATTTTTTTTTTGCACCAAAAAGGGGTCCCGCCAGCACTAGGTCATTTTGTGTGGTGGTAGTAAGTGTACCCCCATATTGAAATTGTTTCCTTGGGGAAGGCAGGTTTGCCTGTGTTAACTTGAGTGGAGGGATGGCCTCCCCTGTGTCTTAACTCTTACCTGTGTTCTCAGTGTTCATGCTTCACACTTGTTTGCTGGTCATCATGTATTGAAACATTTGGGGGGGGGTCACTGTGGGAGCCCCCACACCAGTGGCACTCCCCCCTGTCTCGGGTGTCCTCCTGGATGTCTTGTCCTGTTTGTGGGGAGGGGAGGCTGGGTACTGGGTACTGGGAAAGCCACTGGGATCCAGCTCTCCCCTTCTCCGGCCTGAGCTCCGGGTTCCGCGGTCAGCGCTGACCCGTGCGCCTGTGTTTCAGCGAGACCCTGCCCGTGGAGTACCTCGGCGGGAAACCGCTCTGCATGAACCAGTACTACCAGGTCCTGTCCTCCTGCCGCATCCCCGACCCCAAGAGAGACTCCGTGGTCAACTACGCGCGCAGCAAGAAGCCCCCCACCCACATCACGGTTGTGCACAACTTCCAGGTACCTCCCGCGGACTCTGCTTTCCGGCCTTCCTGTCCCCACCCCTTGGGGACTGCGCCTTCCTGGGCCTTCCTGGACCCCTCCTTCCTGACCGTGCTCCTGGTGGACTCTGCCTTCTTGACATCACCGGTCACAGACCCCGCCCCTTAATAGATCTTGTCTTCCTGTCCCCTCCCCTGGTAGGCTCCGTCCCCCTGTCCCCTCCCCTGGTAGGCTCCGCCCTCTTGTCCCCTCCCCCGGTAGGGTCCGCCCTTCTGTCCCCTCCCCCCATAGGCTCCGCCCCTGTCCCCACCCCTGGTAGACCCCGCCTTCCCACCCAATCCCTTCATATACTCCATCCTCCCATCCTGTCCTCTCATAGACCCCGACTTCCCTTGCCCACCCCCTCATAGACTCCGCCTTCCTGTCCCCGCCCCTCAGGGGGATACATTTTCCCAGCTTGACCGGCTTCAGTGAAATTGTGCTGCGGAAGTGCTGACTCGCACAGCAGGCTTTTGCATTTTCAGTGATCTAGCTTTCCGTTCTTTATCAGCCTTATGAGTCCGTCCTCCCTACTTTCTATCTATCCATCCATCTACCTGCCTGTCTCTCCACGTGTCCATCTACACACCTGTCAGCATCTGTCTGCCTGCCTTCCTGTGCGCGTCTCCGCCTGTCCCAGTCTGTGCTGGGCTGACCCTCCTTTTCCTGCTCCGTAGTTCTTCGTCCTGGACGTTTACAACAGCGACGGCTCTCCCCTGACAGTCGACCAGATTTACATCCAGCTGGAGAAGATCTGGAACTCGTCCCTGCAGACCAACAAGGAGCCGATCGGGATCCTCACCTCCCAGCACCGCAACACCTGGGGGAAAGCCTACAACAACCTCATCAAGGGTGAGGGCGTCAGTCCCACGTGTCTGCGCTGACAGGCCCGTGGGCACGCGCGCTGACACACATGACAAGGCCTCTGCAGCTCTTGCCATTGATTGGCGGGATCGATTCAGTTCAGTTCACCTGTCACAATCGTATTTGCATATCCGCTCCAATGCCAAGGCATGAAGGAAAAGCCAACCTACTGTATAAACAGAACAGCAGCAGCAGTAGCAGCAGCAACAGAGAGAAGTTAAATAATATAGAAATTTTAAAAAGCACGTTGGCACATGCAGTGTGAGTGTGATTGTACTTGACTACATCAATTAGAAAATATCATGGAAAAAATGGACATTTTGTAGGACCTAGCTGTTCTTCCTGTATTCGTGTGGATTTCCTCTGGCTGCTCTGCTTTCCTCCCACAGTCCAAGCACACGCTGGTCGATTCATTGGCTGCTGGGAAAACTGGCCCTAGAGTGAGTGTGTGTCCTGTGATGGGACTGGCGTCCTGTCCGGGGCGTACCCTGCCTTGCGCCCATTGCCGGCTGGGATGGACTCCAGCTTCCCCGCTTGCAAGAAGTGGTTAGACAATAGATGGGTGGAAAACCTAGCTGTCAGGCCTGTGATCCTGTGATGGAGTTCAGCGATAGTGGCCTGTGGCATTTTTTTGTTGCAGGTGCACATTCTGCAGGTGTATCGGTCTAATACGTGCTTCATCGTAGGTCAGTGCTGAACTGTGTCGGAGCTCTGTTTCAGGAGTGTTGCCTGCAGTTTCCGTTGAGAACTTGCAGCAGGGATAGAGTCTTTGTGCTTCTCCCACCCCACCCCCGGCCTTGCAGACAAGACGAACAAGGAGTCGGTGCGCGCCATCCAGAAGAGCATCTTCACGGTGTGCCTGGACGCGCCCAAGCCCCGCGTGTCCGACGAGCTGTACCGCAGCCGTGTGGGCGCCCAGATGCTGCACGGCGGGGGCAGCCGCTGGAACAGTGGCAACCGCTGGTTCGACAAGACCCTGCAGGTGAGACACCCTGAGGGCTGTGGGCCCGGCGCCCGGGCGAAAGGGCAGGCGGTTGAGCTCCTCTGGCTTGCTTGATTGCCAGCGTACTGGTGCCTTTCATTCGAGGATCTCGGGGTATCATCCCTCAGCAGCATAGCTGGGCAGCTTGTTCCAGACACCCACCACCCTTTGTGTAAAGAAGTGTTGCTCCGCATGTCCGTCTATGTGCCTGTCAGCCTCTCTGACTGCCTTCCTATCAAATGTGCTTCTGCTCAGCCTGGGTTTCTCAGTCGATTTGGACGATGGAGGGGAAAAAAAGCTTCTAGGGGTATAATTCCCCATCTTGAAAAGTCCTGTTCCTGGTCTTATCAGTGAAATCAAAGCTGTTTTCAGGTGGTATTAAAACAAGTGTAAGTCCTTAGCAGGAGTAGGCTTGGGGTTACAAAACGCTTCACTTAAGATCGAAGTTGGACTGCACCTTCTTTGAGTTTGTGCTGTGTACCTTGTACCTTGTCCATACCAGTGCATCATTTTTTTTAAAAATCTTGCTACTCTAACAGACTGCTTTTGTCTAGCGCTTGACCTGTGGTTCAAAAAGTACAGTATTACTTTACAGTACTAAAAGTATTCTTGCTTTTAATGTTTTTGTGTGTGTGTGTGTGTGTGTAACCATGAACAGGGAGGCAGATTTGAGGAGAAATTAGAACCAGAATCTTTTGAATTTTGAGTGTCCACAACTGAGAAGGAGAAAATCAACATCAGGAGTGGTTACAAGGGATGTTCAAATGGCATTTTAGGGGTTTAAACAGCCCTGTGGTGTAGAGAGTATTTACAGTGCTCCTCATGCTGTTCCAGCCCTGTCTGCTCATTGGTACTTCTGACGTGTTCAGAGCCGTATTGCTCCTGTGTTGGTGTCTTAATGAAGTTCCTGAAGAGCCTGCCTTGTTCCGGCTCTCTGCAGTTTATCATCGGAGAAGACGGGTCATGCGGCCTGATTTATGAGCACGCCCCCGCAGAAGGCCCGCCCATCGTGTCCCTGGTGGACCACGTGGTGGAGTACACGTGAGTGAGACCCCCGCTGTTGCCGCTGATCTCCGGCACCCCCTCTGCGGCGCCGGCGGGTTTCTGGGCTCTCCGTTGGGCGCGGTGACAACTACCCGTCCCGGGGCGATAGTAGAAAATAAAAATATCTTCCTCACCCTTGTGATGAAGACAAATGACAAATCCAGTGTTCTGAGTCACAGTGTAGTCCTGCATTGTGTCGTAAGAATCCGGAATAGAGTCCGGGTGGCCACAGCCTTTCCCAGGAATTAGATAATAGAGGGATGAGTCAAGCAGTCAGAATTAGTAGGACATATAACGGCGATTGTTTCAACTGTGCTGTGTTTGTCCAGTGTAATAGCTCCACTGTAACAGCTTGTAGAATGGCCCTGAATTCACCGAGTTTAAATGCTGAAAAAAGTTTTGTTCCTGCTCCGTGCAGGCTGCTCTGCGGGACAGAAGGAGCTCTCCGCAGCCGCAAGAGTTTGCTCTGCCAGTTGATAAGATACAAGCTATTAATTGGGTACAGTTGAGGGCTGTGGTTCATAATTGATCAAGCAAAGCTTAGTGTCGGCACAGATTTAACTAATTACAGATATTTAGTAATCAGATCCCAAGTCACGTCAGTTATTGATGCAATTTTGTTTCACTAAAACCTTAGTAACCACCTTAGTTGATCAAGCCCGGGAAAAACATTAACATTTCAATATGTCTAACTACAATACAAACACTTAGTGCCAAGCTTATTTCTTCCATGTATTTTATTTCAGAACTTGCACGTTTTAAGATTTTCCGGAAGGCGACGCGCTTGTTCTCTCCCCGTGTCTTCCCTGCAGGAAGCAATCGGAGATGGTGCGGTCTCCCATGATTCCCCTGCCCGCACCGCAGAAACTGCGCTTCAACATCACGCCAGAGATCAAGAAGGACATCGAGAAGGCCAAGCAGAACCTCAACATGTGAGTGGGCATCTGTGTTCCTTTCGCACAACCTGTAAATTGCACTTGTGTAATTGATTGTATCCTAAATGTTTTTTTTTCTTTTCGTTCATCTAATCCCTATAAATTCCTGTCCCTCTACTCTTCTACCCCTCTTAACGAGCTCGTGGACAAAGCATGTCATTGCCAACAACACCGCTGTGTGCTGTACTGTTCGTGCATTGATAAATAAACCTTGATTGATTGATTGATTGTGTGTCCTCTGTACAGCACCCTCGGGGTTGAAATGAATTCCCACGCCTGGCTGGCCTGGATCAGCCTGCTCAAGGGATCAGGTCTTCTATCTGATAACCAATAACAGCACACTTACGCAAAGCATCAAGAAGTATGAATGAATGCACAAGACTGCAGACTTGGCCAGGGGACCCATTTCAGTTTGAACCAGGCCTTCGTTAGCAGAGAGGACACGCATTCACGTCTGCCTTACGTGTGAAAGGGACGCAGTTTGCCAGCTTTGAGTTGAAACCACACTTAAATTGCATATAGGAAGATGGGACCATGTTCGTACTGCTCCGTTAAAAAGTGAATGATGTATTGTCTCTATCATATCATGTGTCAAACCATTCTGCATTTGCGAATTGTGAATTGCCTTTTGTGATTGTGGTGTTGATTTCTTGCCTCATGCTCCTGCCGATGAGCTGGCCCCGAGTTCTGTAAGAGACTCGGGCAGCACCCCCACAGCTCTCGGGGTGTAGGGTCTTCCTGTGAGGCTGAGGTGGGATTCACTCTCTGCGCTCGTGTGTCGCACTGCTGTCGCCCCCCAGCATGGTGCAGGACCTGGACGTGAAAGTCAACGTCTTCTCTCACTTCGGGAAGAACTTCCCCAAGTCGCACAAGATGAGCCCCGACGCTTTCATTCAGATGGCTCTGCAGCTGGCTTACTACAGGTAACCCCCAGATAACAGCTCACCCCCCGAATACAGGTAACCCCCAAATCACAGCTCACTCCCCAACTACAGGTAACCCCCCGACTACAGGTAACCCCCAGATCACAGCTCACTC